CTGCTTCTTTAGCTTATACGATAGCCATCTCCCTGGCTTGTTCACATTCTCAAAGAAATTCAGGCCACTCCTTTTAATTTGTTGTGCTAGTTCTTCTTTCTCAAGAATGGACAGCTTATGTTTAATCACTTCCATTTGTTGTTTCAGGCTTTCATTTTGGAGGTTATGTTGTAGTTCTATTTCTAATCTTTGGAATTCCTCTTCTAAGTTTTTCCCCTTTTGTTTCTTCTTTTTATTTTCTCTTGCCATATAAGCTATAGCCACTCCTCTCACATACGCCTTCGTTGTATCCCATAAATTTTGAATGTTCGTATCCTCTTTTTTTATTTCCCTGGAAGAACAACTTTAGCTGTTCCTCCAGCTTTATTTTAAATTCTTTGTGTTTTATAATCGCTCTTTTTAGTGTCCATCTACCATTTTTCCCCCCTCTCCACCTGATTCTCACCGGGTTGTGGTCCGCCCAAAGGTTCGTTTCTATTTCCACTTCCCCCATTTCCTGCAATAGTTCTGTCATTACCCAAACCATATCTATCCTGGACCACGTCTTATATCTACTTGAATAGTACGTGTATTGGCTTCCCCCTTGGTTCCTTTCTCTCCAAATATCTCGCATCCCTAATTCATCCACCATCTTAAAGAAAACTTTTGGCAATATTCTTCTAGGTCCCTTTCTTTCTTCCTTGCTTTTATAGTCTAGCTTCCTATCTATTATTGCGTTAAAATCGCCCATAATACAGATGTTCTCACAATCTATCGCCCGTAGTGTATTATATAGTTTCCTATAGAATTGTTCTTGCCCCCCATTTGGGGCATAGATTCCTACTAATATTATTCGTTTTTGGTTAATTGTCGTCTCCACTATCAAAATCCTGCCTTCTGTAACTTTATAAATTTGCTTGGCTAAGATTGACTCTGTGATATATATCACTACTCCTCTTTTTTTGTGCTGTGATAGAGATGCAAACATCTTCCCCAGTTTAGGGCATTCCAACACCTGTCTATGCTGTTCCTTAATGTGAGTCTCTTGAATAACTATAACATCTAAATTTCTTCTAATCAATTTATTAAAAGTTTTTTTTCCTTTTTTGAGGAGAGTTTAGGCCATTAATATTCAAGGATAGGATTTGGAGTTCTCCCATCATGTTTCTACTTATATCTAGTTTTTATACCCCTCGTTATTCTAGTCTCCTTTGGCTCCTCTCTCAGCTCTTGTTGTTCCCTTTCATAGTTTACCGTTTCCTCTCTCTTCTCTCTTCTCTCTTCTCATTTTCCCCTGTTGTCCCTCCTCTTCTGTTCTAGCCAACCTTGACTCCCTCACTTCTTCAACATCTCTCTCTAATTCTTCTTCACTGCTAAAGTTTTGCTTATAAAATTCCTCCGCCTTATCTGGAGTGTCTATTCTAATCTTCTTGTCCTGCCACGAAATCAGTATTCCCTCTGGAATCAACCATCGAAAGTTAACATTATGTCTAGTCAGTTTCGTTGTCAAGAAGTGGTAGGGTCTTCGTAGATCCCTAACTCTTTTTGGCACCTGCTTTAAGACAATCAGCTGTTTCCCCTTGCATTCTAATGGCTCATCTCTCACTCTGTGAAGGATCTCGTCCCTAATCGACTTTTTAACAAACCTAACATGAATCTCTTTAGGCAGGTTATGTCGTCTTGCGTAGTTTGTGTGGATCCAATAGACCTCATCCATTTCACTCAACATTTCTTCTTTCCCTATTCCCAGAGCTTTTGCTAGTAAATCCGCCATCATTTCCAATAGATCCTCTCCCCTGTCCTCTCTTATGTTCTGAAACCGTAAGTATCGGTCAGCTTTTTCATATTCTAGGGCGGTAACCGTTGCTTCTAGTTCTTTATTCGCTCTGGTTAGCTTCTCATTTATTTCTTCTACTCTTTTTTCTTCCTTTTCCATCCTTTCCTCCATCTTTTGTAATTTCTGTTCATTCTTTGCCATCTGCTGTTGGAACGATTCCAATCTTCCATCCATGACTTGCATCCGTTCTTTGAGATTGCTTGTATCGTTCCTCACCTCTCCAATTTCTTTCCTTAGTTCTTCATGATTTCTAGCCATGGCCTCCTGCATCGCTTGTAACATGACCTGTAGGTCTTTAAATGAATTAGACCTTTCTCTTTGCAGAAGCTCATCAATTGATTTTTGGCTCGATGGACTTGAGGTAGTTGAGGCAATCTGTGCCCCCTTCTTCGCTATCCCTACCTTGGATAGGTTTGGAATGCTCGTCATTTTGAATTCCACACTTCAATCAATAGAATAACCTACTTAGCTTGATTATACCTAAAATAACAGTAGTATTAACAGTACAAATAACAATATAAGATAGGTAGTTAATAGCAATAGATAAAATATCTATAATTTTAAGTATTAATTTCTGGGCACAAATTCACTATTTCTTAATTATAATAGCAATAATATATATAAGTACACAGCCTAAACAATTTGAACCATGGCCACAATTAGATCTTATCTATTACTCCAAGCAGTCCTTTGTATCCAAAGTCTATCGATAATCCCACAGAGAGGGAAAGAAAGACTTCCAAGAAAATGCATCCAATATCAATGAGTTCCAAGGAGAGAAAGAAAAAAAAAAGAAAGGGTTCCTATTTCAGCCACAAGATGTCCCTCTTGGCTTTTTTTTTTTTAACTTCAGCTCCACATAGAGAGTGCGCTGTCACTTTCAAAATGTCCTTTCAAGATGTCAGCCCGTCCTTCCAAATCACCTTTTTCTCTCTTCTACTGCCAATTCAATCTCATATAGTCCTCAAAGCTCTTCGGTCCCTTCTCATTAACACTGTTCTTTCCCTGCTAGCGCGTCTCTATCTCATTCCAAGTTCAATTTTGGGACTTTTTAAAAAAAATTCCCAAACAAGCCTTTCTCGCCGCTTTCACGGGGGGGGGGGGATGAGAAAAAAAAACACTCCTCCCTTTTTTCCTGAGATCCTCCTAACCTGTGCTACCCAGGGAAAAACTTCCAAAGGACTCTTCCTTTCCAGATTCCTCCGGTTCCTCCGTCAGAATCAATTCTCGGCCAGTTCCAGTCACCTGTTGTTCAGCTACTTCACCGCCTACGTTGTCCTTCTGTCAAGCCTCTATGTCGGCCATTAAGGGCTGTCTTCTTCCCCGCTCAGTCTGCCAGGCTTTTCCCTGCCATCGTGCTCCAGTCGCCACCTGGATTGCACTGCAGGTCGTCCTTCCTTCTCGGCTCCCCTCCGAGGAGCCGTGGCTCTGAAAAGCCAGCTCAAGTGGCTGGCAAAGTAGTTGTGTATTCCGGCAAACCTTCCAACACAACCAGTCAGCTTGACAGCTGGCCCCGCCCCGAGTTTCCCAAGCTTCTTGAGTTAATTTCAAGCAATGAATCAGCGAGCACCTAGAGGCAAACAATGTCATAACCAAAAGCCAACATGGGTTTGTCAAAAACAGATCATGCCAGACAAATCTTATTGCATTCTTTGACCAGGTGACAAAATTAGTGGACCAGAGGAATGCTGTGGATATAATTTACTTGGACTTCAGTAGGGCATTTGATAAAGTAGACCACAACCTACTACTTGATAAGATAGAAAAATGTGGGTTAGACAGTATCACCACCAGATGGATTCGTAGATTGCTGACCGGCCGTACTCAGTGTGCAGTCCTCAATGGAACTGCATCTACATGGAGGGAAGTGTGTAGTGGGGTGCCGCAGGGCTCTGTTATGGGCCCAGTGCTCTTCAATATCTTCATCAATGACTTGGATATGGGGATAGATGGGGAACTCATCAAATTTGCAGAAGACACCAAGTTGGCAGGAATAGCCAATACTCCAGAAGATAGGCTTAAGATACAGAAGGATCTTGACAGACTTGAACATTGGGCACTATCTAACAGAATGAAATTCAATGGTAAAAAAAACAAGGTTCTACATTTAGGCAAGAAAAACCAAATGCACAGGTACAGTATAGGTGGTACCTGGCTCAATAGTAGTAACTGTGAGAGGGATCTCGGAGTCCCAGTGGACAATCACTTAAATATGAGCCAACAGTGTGCTGCAGCTGCCAAAAAAGCCAACACAGTGCTAGGCTGCATTAACAGAGGGATAGAATCAAGATCACGCCTTGGTAATGCCACACTTGGAATACTGCATCCAGTTTTGGTCACAACAATGTAAAAAAGATGTTGAGACTCTAGAAAAAGTGCAGAGAAGAGCAACAAAGATGATTAGGGGACTGGAGGCTAAAACATAAAGAACGGTTACTGGAATTGGGTATGTCTAGTTCAGGGGTAGGCAACCCAAAACACTCAAAGAGCCACTTGGACCCGTTTCCCACCGAAAACAAAACACTGGGAGCCGCAAAACCCTTTTGACATCTAAAATGAAGATAACACTGCATATATCATTTTTTACCTTTGTGCTATGTATAAAAAAACTATAGTGTGTTGCATTTATGAAATCAATGAACTGGTACAAAGAAAACAAATTTTTATTTCTGCATGCAACAAAAATATTTTGAACTCCCAAAAAAAGACGCTGGGTCTAAGATTACTTTCAAATAAAATACTCAATGTCTATTTGAGTCCTCCTCATATTTATTAAATAAAAAGCCAAACTTAATTTATCCGCCTGCAGCAAACCCAAAATGCTGTCTGCTTGTCATTCCGTCTGTCCGTCCACCCAGCTGTCCGTCTGCCCATCTGTCCGCACATCCGCCCATCTGCCTGTCCGTCCATCTGCCCGTCTGCCAGTCCATCTGCCCATCCGTCTGCTTGTCTGTCTGTCTGCCCGTCTGTACATCTGCCCATCCGTCCCCTCGTCCGTCCGTCTGCCCATCCGTCCATCCATCTGCCCATCCATCCGCCCATCCATCTGCCCATCATCCAGTCCATTTGTCTGTACTGGAGCGTGCAGTCAGCTGACAATGAATAAAAAAAGGACTATTTCACTGAACAACGTCAAATATATATTTGCAAAATAATAGTCAATTAAAATATTTATTTTACCTGGTTAATGTGATTTTTGCTTCTCAACATCAGCACACAGCATCTGCATATCAGGGCTGTAAGACATCACCTTCATCTTTAAACAAGATTGCAGGCTGATGTCTGTGAGGCGTGAACGATATTTGTTTTTAATATAGTTCATGTTGGAGAAGACCTGTTCACATACGTATGTGGATCCGAAGATCGACAGGACTCCAAATGCGTATTTTTTCATATTTGAGTAAGTGCTGGGGATAGCATTCCATGTGTCGAATATAAGCTTGTCCAGTTTGGGAAAGTTTTCAATATCACTCCATTTGTGATTCAGTGCGAGATTGGCCTTCTGACGGGCAACATCTTCAAGATTATCTGTCAAGCGTTGGAACTTGGACACCCATATATCTTTGTCGGCTATGTCTGCAAGTTCCATCTCCAGATCGGGTTGACTTACCCCTGCAAATGCAGTCATATTCAATGCAGATGGATCGCTGGTCAGGGGAGTGACAGGGAAAGATAATGTGTTTTTTTCCTCTCTGAACTCACAGAATCGCTTCCCAAATGATGTTTCCATTGCAATGATTGCAGACTGCAAATACTCTGAATTTATCATGTTGTGACCTTGTTTGAACTCTCGCAAAGAGGGGAAGTGAGATAGTGTACCTTTCTGTAAATCTCTGCCAAACACTGTCAACTTGCGCTCAAATGCCAAAACTTCCTCCAGCATGTGCAGGGCTGTGCCTCCTTTACCCTGAAGAGTTGTGTTCAGCGTGTTCAGGTGTGCTGTCATATCTACCATGAAGTGTAGCTTTTCCAGCCACTCTGGCCATTCTAGCTCAGGAAAGGTGAGCCCTTTGCTGCCCAGGTAAGTTTTCACCTCTTCCAGACACGCAGCAAAGCGTTTTAGCACCTCCCCTCTGGACAGCCACCGGACTTTGTTGTGCAGCAGGAGATCAGAATATGTGCTTTCCACCTCCTCTAGTAGCAAACGGAACTGACGGTGATTTAAACCTTGTGCCATTATTTTATTGACAATCTGAATGACAACATTCATCACTTCTGTGCATTCTGGAGGAAATGTTTGAGCACACAATGCCTCTTGGTGCAGGATGCAGTGAAATGTAAGCAGCTTTCTACCCAGCGACTTCTGCAGTAAAGCCGCAAAGCCCTTGTGCGCTCCTGTCATACTTGGTGCCCCGTCAGTAGCCACTGACACCAGGTGGGTGGTGTTTATTTCATTGATTCTTAAATAATCCAAGACAGCCTCACAGATGTCCTCCCCCCATGTTTGGCCTTTTAGTGGTATCAACTGAATCATTTCTTCCTGTGGCCCAGCAGAGTTCACATATCGGCAGAACAGCACTATTTGTTCAATATTACTTTTGTCTTTGGATGCATCACAGGCGATTGAGTACGCCTCAGCTGAATTGATGTCTTTAATTTGCTGTCCGGTGATGTTTTCTGCCATTTTTATGGTTCTGTCTTTCACAGTCTTCGCAGAGAGAGGCATATCTCTGATTTTCTGCACAATTTCACTCTTGTTCTTGAAGTCCGAGAATAGATGTTCTGAAATCTTGATGAATGATTCCTTGATATACTCTCCATCTGTGAACAGCTTCCCGTGCCTGACTATTTCCTGAGCGGCCACAAAACTAGTATATGTAGTTGAATTTGCAGATGTCACCCACTTCTTAAAATGACTCTTGCTCAGATCAACCTTCCGCATCAATTCCGAAACGGCTTTTTTCCTCTCATCTCCGTCGGGGTATTTTTCAGCAAAGGCTGCGTGTTTATTCTGGAAATGTCTTGCAACATTCGACTTTTTGTTGTTTGCCAATTTCTCACCACATATTAAACATACTGGTAAGCCAGTCTTGTCAGTTGTGAAAGCAAATGAATGTGCCCATGTATCATTAAACACTGTTTTCTTCTGAAAGTTTTCTTTTCTTGCATGATTTATCCATGGTTGGCCTACTGGGGGTCGAAAAGCACAATAAATCTAATGCCGGCGGGTGTCACACATTGGCCATTATAACCAGTACTGGGAATCAAATAATTTAACAACCAGTTCACTGCAAAATTCCCCCCCCTGCACGGAGCACCCCGCTGCCACTACTTCCCCCTCACCCCTGATGGAGCGCTCCACTGCCACTGCTGCTTCCCCCCAAGGACGGAGCGCTCCGCTGCTGCTTTACCCAGTGGCGAAGGTGGAGTTTGGGAGCAATCCCGCTGCTGCACCTCCACTTTCTTCAACCACGATCCCCCCTCTCCAGCCAGCCAGCTCTTCATGAATTTAACATGGACATTAAAATGTTTCACCACCTTTATCAATATCACAAAGAAAAGTTTAAGAACTTTAATTGTGCTTGATCAGGTGCACTCATTTTCCTCCAGTCACTCTCTTGGCATCTCTACCCACTACATCACCCTCTGACTGCCAGAGGACTCACAACGATCCACACTCATAGAGAGGATCCTGCAATCTAATCTGAGCTGTCATAAGCTTTCATTATAGCAGGTTATTCTCTATCTCTCTTTGTCTCCGTCTCTCTGTCTCTGTCTCTCTCTCATTACAATGTTCTCTGTTTTTCAAATATTTTTTATTAAGGATTATAAATGAAAAGAGTAAAAGCCGGTGCAAACAATAAAAACCACAAATAGAAAAATAGAAAAGAAAAAAAATGCGGGGGAAAAAAAAGAAAAGGACAGGAGAAAGAGGGGAAAAAACCCCCTTTCTCCTTCATCCCAAAAGGTAAAAACAATTTTAGCAGCTAATTTACCATCTTTAAATACAGCATAATTATCCCCATATTTCATCTCTTAATTAAACAAACATCAAAATATTTCATTAAACGTTCTTTACTAAAAGTCTAGTAAGGACAACCACATATATTCATATTCTCCTTCTCTCTCTCTCTCTCCCCGTCCCTCCCTCCCTCCTCCTCCCAGCAAAGCACTTACTTGGAAAGTAGGACAAGGACCTGCAGAATTAACCAACCGGCTTTCTTTTTCTTTATTCAGAAAAGTATTCCAGCAGTGTTCAACAAATCACTGTAAAGAGACGAATACCTTCTTGTTAAGCCATTTTATTTGGATGGGTTGGATTTGTGTTGTTAAGTGAGACATTTGTTTAATGGGTTTTGCCCCATTTTGCGACCTTTCTTACCACTATTGCTAAGTGAATCACTGCAGTCAATAAGTTAGTAACCAGGCTGAGAAAGTGGAAATTACACAATGCTACTAAAAGGGCTTGTGGTTCCCAGTCCGATGCAAGAAATATGATATTCAGGGGTGCTCCTGAAGAAAAGGCCGTGTGCAGGTAGAAAGGGTGATATTCCAGTAAGGGGGTGCACTGATTACAATAAGCTCCTGCATATAGAATAGAATAGAGCTGGAAGGGACCTTAGAGATCTTCTACTCCTGCCTCCTGCTCAAGCCTGTGCAGAAAAGTGGGGGTCTTTAAATAGTCATGTCCACTTTTCCCTCTTTTTTTCCTATTTTTTGCAATGACCGGTTGCAGACATCCACATGTGTATGCATGTCAGGTTTGGAAGCCTCCATTTAAGTCTGTGCATGTGCACAGACATAGGCTGACTTAGGAGCGAAAACACTGCTGGTAGATCTTGTGGGAAGGAAGGAAGACATAACATTCAGCAAAGCAGCCTCCCTGCAAAAGAAACATATTTGCATAAGCAGCCCCCACAAGCAGCTCCCCCCTCACCCTCGCTTGCAAAAACCTCGCCCTGCCTTATTTGCAGGTGAAACCTGCCAAAAGCCCAACCAGCCCGTGCAGAAGTGCTGCCTGCTTGCCTTTCCAGGGCGCTCCAGCCCAGCTTCTTTCCTCCCTTTTAGCTGGACAACCTTTAAAATCGGCCTTTTATATTTATTTATTGGGGGGGGGAATCTGCAAGCATGCCAACTGGGGCAGCGGGTCAGGCCTGAGAAGAGCGGCCAGCCCAACAGCTGATCCAGGCTGAGCTCCCCCGAGCAAGCGAGCTGGCCGGGTGATGCCGAGGCCGCTTTGGAATGAGAGCATCGGGCAAAGCAATGGCTTGCCTCTGCGCCTCGGAGCCAGGAGGTGCGCACCAGCTGATGCAGGCTGAGCCCCCCCACAGCAAGCGCGCCGGCCGGGTCACACTGAGGCCGCTTTGGAACGGGAGCATCGGGCAAAGGAACGGCTTGCCTTGGAGCTGGGAGGTGCGCACCAGCCGATGCAGGCTGAGCCCCCCCGAGCAAGCAAGCTGGCCGGGTCACACTGAGGCCGCTTTGGAACGGGAGCATCGGGCAAAGCAATGGCTTGCCTCCGCGCCTCGGAGCTGGGAGGTGCGCACCACCTGATGCAGGCTGAGCCCCTCCCCCAGCAAGCGCGCCGGCCGGGTGACGCCGAGGCCGCTTTGGAATGGGAGCATCAGGCAAAGCAACAGCTTGCCTCGGAGCCGGGAGGTGCGCACCAGCCGATGCAGGCTGAGCCCCCCCCAGCAAGCGCACCGGCCGGGTGACGCCGAGGCTGCTTTGGAACGGGAGCATCGGGCAAAGCAATGGCTTGCCTCCGCGCCTCGGAGCCGGGAGGTGCGCACCAGCCGATGCAGGCTGAGCCCCCCCAGCAAGCGCGCCGGCCGGGTGACGCCGAGGCCGCTTTGGAACGAGAGCATCGGGCAAAGCGGAACGGCTTGCCTCCATGCCTCGGAGCCAGTAGTTGCCCCTTTGGAGGAGGAGGAGGCACCGTCACCACCCCTGGCGCTTTCTCCCGGGCTGGGTGGCGCAGTGGCCAGGCACTCCCTGCCTTCTCCTGGCCTACTGCAAGTCCCCGGAGAAAAGGGCTTACTCACCTTTCTAACAGTCCATGCAGTCTGAAGAGAGAGGAGAGGCTGCGCTCGTGGACGCTTTCCAGGACGGGTTGTCGGAGGAGATGCTGGATGAGCTGGCCCGTGTTGATATTCCCCCGGACCTTACCGGGTTCATTCATCTCTCTCTGCGGATCGATGCCCGGCTGCAGCAGCAAAGGAGTCGCCGTGCCATCCCAGAGACCCGTACGGCCCCCGTTGTGAGTGCGACCCCGGTCCAGAGGGAGGAGCCAATGGAGTTAGGTGCTGCCAGACCTCGTCTATCGCTGGCAGAGATGAACAGGCGACATTCGGGGGGGGTTTACTGTGGGGACCCTGGGCATTTGGCCGCTTTCTGCCCCAAGAAGCGACGAGGGGCGTCTGTGACGGAGCTTGTCCCGAGACTGCCATCGGCTCCCCTATCGGGAAACGGCCCATGCCCAACCTGAAAGGCCTTTTGGGTCGGGCGTCCCGCACCTCCGAGCCACACCCTTCTGATGCTGCCCACGGACCCCCCAAAACATTTGATTTTCGAGGCGTGCCTGATTCTTCCTAAGTTGCCCAAGGGGATTCCTGTCCATACGTTGATTGACTCTGGGGCCACTACGAACTTTATAAATGCAGCATTCGTGGCTAAATGGGCGATTCCCCAATGCCCCGTGGATCCACCAATGTTAGTGGAGACCATTGATGGTCGAGTGCTTCGGTCTGGGCCAATTAAGGCTGCCACGCAACCGCTATGTATGGCCATCAGTACACATGAGGAGGCCATCCAGTTTTATATCACCTCAGACCTGCATTTCCCCGTGGTCTTGGGAATGGCGTGGCTTCGAGCGCATGACCCACAGATTTATTGGTCACAGAACTTGGTCACCTTTCCAAGCTTGCAGTGCGTGGACCACACCCGCCACATCTGTGCCGGTCAGGTAGAGGGGCCCATGGGGGTCTCCTTACCCTCTGAATTGGCAGATTATGCTGATGTGTTCAGCAAGACGGAGGCGGAACAATTGCCCCCGCACAGGCCCTATGACTGCCCCATTGACTTAGTCCCTGATGCGCCTCTCCCAGGGGGGCATTTGTATTCCATGTCGGACTTCGAGTTGGCCGCGTTGCGGGACTTTTTGGACAAGAATTTGGCCCGGGGTTTTATTCAGCCCTCGTCCTCGCCAGTGTCCGCACCCGTACTCTTCATCAAGAAGAAGTCTGGTGAATTGCGTCTGTGCTGTGATTATCGGAAATTGAATGCCATCACGGTGCGCAACCGATACCCGCTGCCCCTCATCCCCGAACTCTTGGACCGGCTCCGTGAGGCAAAGATCTTCACAAAACTGGACTTGCGTGGAGCTTATCACCTTGTCAGAGTTCGGTTGGGTGATGAGTGGAAGACGGTGTTTGGTACTCGGTACGGGCACTTCGAGTACACGGTGATGCCATTTGGCCTAACGCCCCTGCTGTGTTCCAGCACTTTATGAACGATATTTTCCGGGACTTGTAAGATCAGTTCGTTGTGATATACCTGGACGACATCCTGATCTATTTCCCATCACGAGAGGTGCATCATCAGCATCTTCGTCAGGTCCTGCAGCGGCTCTGAGAACATGGGCTGTATGCTAAATTAGAGACGTGTCAGTTCTACAAGACGACTATAGAGTTCTTGGGTCACTGTATTTCTCCTGAGGGCATCGCCATGGAGCCGAGTAAAGTTGAGTCTTTGCAGAGTTGGCAACCCCCACGTCGTGTGAAGGATGTCCAGCGACTTCTTGGGTTCGCCAACTATTACCGGACTTTCATCCCCAGGTTTGCTACCATGACAGCCCCCCTTNGGACCGAGAAGGTCATTGGAATCCTGGAACAATATCTGCGCTGCTATGTCAATCAGCAGCAGAACAATTGGGTGGACTAT